TAAAAAGTGTATTCTACTTAGAGGAAATCAAATAAGCAAATAGGAGGGAAGCTATGTAAATCAGTCGAACATAAAAATGGTGCAGAATAAAAAGAATGTGCTCTACTGGAACTATGCAATTTGGCTTCTGCTGACAGAGTCTTTGTGAAGCACTGACACTTCCTGGTTTGCTAGCGATGATGGATGATATCGGCACTCAAAGGTAGTTTTAAAAATGCAAATGACATCGTGGGCTACGTGAACTCCCTGGGCTCATCCCCCGGTAATAAAAAGAAACAAAACAAAACAGAAAAAGATCCCACCTGAGCTACGGAAGGAGTGGGGAGAGAAGCAGGCCCAGGGCAGAACCCAGGATTGCGGCTACGCAGAGGTTGGCAAGGTCAGGTGAGCGTGTTTACACAGTGGTGGGGAGAGAGCGGACCAGGACATGTGGGCCTTGAAGGTAAGAGAGGGGAGTCAGGGGGCTTTCAATGGCCAGTGAGATATACATCTCTGACACATATATCATTTATATACATACACACACACACATCATTGGTATATATGATACAACATATTACTGATATCTACATATCAATATTTGTGTGATATATTACACATATATGATGTATATGTATATACATTATATACAGACATAAATATCTATACAATGTATTTATTCCCTCATGAATTCAGTCAACTAACGCACCAATTAACTAGTCAACCAACTGACTGATTCACCAACCTAAGTAATCAACTTACCAACCTCCAAGCAAACAAACTACCAAGAAACCAACCCACCAACCAAACTGATCGACCAACCTCCTAACCTACCTACCTACCAACCAACCGACTTCCAAGCAACCAACCTACAAAGAAACTGGCAAACCAACCTCTAAGCTACCACCCTACCAACTAACCAATCAATCTACCAAGCAACCTACAAGCAAGCAACAAACCAACCAACCAACCAATCTCCAAGCAACCAACTTACCTACCTACCTACCAACCATCCAACCTCCAACCAACCAACTTACCTACCTATCAACCAAATAACCTCCAAGCAACCAATGTACCAACTAACCCCTCAAACGACCAAGCAAGCAAGCAACCAATCTACCTAGCAACCAAAAATGATCAACCAACCTACCAGCCAACCAATCTCCAAGCAACCAATCTACCAATTTACTTACCTATCTACCAACCAAGCAACTAATCAACCAACCAACCAAATCGACCAATTTACCAACCAACAAACCAACCAATCCACCTCCAAGCAACAACCTACCAACCAACCAAACTGATCAACTAACCTCCAAGCAACCAACCAACCTACCAACCAAGGGCCCATGGTAGTACAATGGCTAAGTGCTCAACTGCTAGCCAAACTGTTGATGGTTTGAACCCAACAGCTGCTCTGTGAGAGAAAGTAAGATCTTCCATGAAGATCTGCGGTCTTGGAACGCCTATGGAGCGCTGGTTCTGCCCTGTCTTACTGGGGTCACTGTGATCCGTGATGGACCTGATTTCAGTGGGTTGGGGTGATTATGGAGTCCCCATGGGTCCAATGCCCACAGGACCAGGCAGCACTTCTTTATGCAGTGCACAGGGTCACCACGAGTTGGGTATTAACTCGCAGCATTAAACAACCACCACCTGGAAACCGTGGGTGGTGCAAATGGTTCACCAGCATGGCTGCTAACCGAACACTGAAGGTTCAGACCCTCCCAGAGGCTCCGCAGAAGGAAGGTCTGGCGATGAGCTTCTGAAACACCAGCCAGCAGAAACCTTATGGGTCACAGTTCTGCTCCACACCGGTGGGTCACAGGTGAGCCAACAGCCATGGGCTTTATTGTGCATCGAGCGCTCTCTGGGTGACCCTGCTGCAGAGACTTACTTGTCAGCACGGGCCTAGCACTTGACCAGAGAACATGGAAACAGGCCTCTCCCATTCACTGGGAGCACTGCAGGGACAGAGGGTTACAGCGGGTGTTTATGTGTCAGGATGGGTGGGCAGGGTCCAGAAGACACCAGCCAAGCCATGGGGACAAGAGATAACTGAGGCCCATCAGACAGGCAATTGTGGGGAGTGGGGTGGGAGAGGCAGGGGGCGCATGAGCAGGGCAGCCCCCGGCACTTGCATGCACACTGACAAGCCTGGCTCTCTCTCCATCTGTGCAGACATACCACCATTCCCTGGAGGAAGGGCAGAGAAGAAGAAATGGGAGTAGGAAATGGAATGTGTGGCTAAGCGCCTCTGTGAACAATTGCCTCCTTTGCCCTGAGATGAGAAGACCTGGATGGTGGGTGCCCAGGGACCATTCGCGACATTCTGATCAAAGATTCCAAAGGAGAATCCTGATCTAAATGGGGAGGGGGAGGCAGAGCAGCCTTTCAGATTCTCCTGGACGCAGACTTCCTGGAGCCATGGAGGACGGATGAAGCCCGTAGCTATTGCCCTAACACGCTCTTCAAACTTCAAACCCAAATCAAACCAAAACAAAGAAAACCCCGACGTCTCCTTGAAGCCAGACTAGAGTGTAGCCTGAGCAGTACAGTCAGTCTGGCTGAGCATCCTGTCCCCTCAAAGAACCCGCTGTGGGACCAGGACAGCAGCAGCTCAACGCGTTGACCAGGAAGCCTGGGAGGATGGTGGGCTCACACTAATACCCGAGGAGGAATCCCAAAAAGGGAGCGGGGTGCTTGCCCACCTTTCAGAACGTTTTCAATATCCCAGAGTTGTACCCACAGAAGTTGCTAAGATGGTGTATTGCGCTGTGTGCCTGCTCAACCACAATTACAGACCAGTGCACCCGGGAGCCTGGTGGGACTGCGAGTTCTATGCTGGGCTCATAACTGCCAAGTCAGCGGTTTGAAACTGCCAGCCGCTCTGTCGGGAAAGATGAGGCTGCCCGCTCCCATCAAGCTTTACAGCCTGGGAATACACAGAGGTTGTTCTTTCTACGCCTCCCTCTAGCGCGGTGGCTCTCAACCTTCCTCATGCTGCGACCCTTTCATACAGTTCCTCATATGGTGGTGACCCCCAGCCACAAAATTATTTTCGTTGCTACTTCATCACTGTCATTTTGCTACTGTGATGATTCGGGGGACCCTGTGAAGGGGTCATTCGACCCCCTGGTTGAGAACCGCTGCTCTAGGGCTACTCTGTCATGTGGCGTCCCTGTGAGTCAGAATCGCCTCCACAGGAGTAAGTTTGCATGCAATTGGACCTGAGATCCCCCCCACCCGCAACTTCTCCTGGAGGTTTCGGGGGCTCCTCTGCCCCAAACCGAGGGGCTAACCTTCCAAGGGGTCAAGGACTCTTGCAGAAGAAGGGGAGTCTAGCAGTGGGAGGGGTTTTCCTTGGGCACGGGGGTAAAGCAGACAGCTATCCGGAGTGGCTGGAGCTCTCCGAGTCCACAAGCGTGTTCATCCACGCACAGCCTCGCCGTGTGACCTGCCCGCATACAGCGAGCCTGTAAGCGCCTCCTGCTTGTAAGGGTTTGGAGGCACACGAGGCCCAGCTCCACTTGCGGTGCCCACGGCCTGTTTCTGGGGAGTGATTTGTGTGCACAGTCTCCCCCGAGTCCAGGAGAAATTTCTGGAATTGTTGCTTCTGATGGAACCTGGCAGGGAGGGCCCGGCGGGGCCGCAGGCACCTGGCAACTGCTCTTCATGATCCTGCACCTTCCGGTTTTTGTGTCTCTGCTTCTGTTCTCAGGGCTACCTGGGAAAGCCCCTTTTTTTTTTTTTTTTTTTTTCTTTTAAAGGCAAATAAACAGGTTGGAAAGCTAAAATGTGTCAGCAGGCATTGGAGCCACTGAGGCCCAGGGCAGAGAGGGAGGCGAAGGGCACAGGTGAGCAGCGTAACGGTCCCCATCTAGGTGCTGGGACTCCCCAGGTAGGACGAGGTCGGAAGTAATGGGCGTCCACTTGGCTATTTCTAGGATTTCAAAAGACTTAATGGAAAGTATCCATTTACCCACCAAGAGGCAGCCGGGACTCACTGAAATGGGCAGTCAGCCTGGCTTCCGCTCTTAGCCTCAGCTCAGAGGGCCTGCCCTGCAGGCTCCCATGGGTGGGCGCTCTGATGGCCACTAAATGGAAGCTTGGTCTTCTTGTTATCCGAAGGAGGCCGCAAAGTGGAGCCGAGTGCCCCGTGGTGCCAAGTGGGGGCTCGGCTCAGGCAAGGGGATTGTTAAGGATAAAAGCCTAAAAGCCAACCACCGGGATTAAGGAAGGGGCCTTTCTAATGCTGAGCTGATAAAATAAAACCCCTCTAAATGTGGATGGCGACGGAGCAGAGTACAAGGAGGCCTGGCGGCACAGTGGGTTAAACACGGGGCTTCTCATTGTAAGGTCAGCAGTTCAAAACCACCACCAGCTCCACAGGAGAAAGAGGAGGCTGTCTACCCCTGGAAAGATTCACAGCCTAGGAGACTCACAGGGGCAGTTGTGCCCTGCCCTATAGGGTCGCTGTGTGTAGGAAATCGACTGGATGGCTTTGTGTCTGAGAGCTTTCAGAGGAGTCCTGGTGGCATCATCGATTTCCCATTGGGCTAACCACACGGCCAGCAGTTCTAACCCACCAGCAGTTTCCTGGGAGAAAGATGAGGCTTTTGGTCCCCGTAAATAGACCCGGCTGACTGCACTGAGAAAGAGGCTGGTAAAGCCCTTTAGACGACGGCCCTCAGAGCTCCAGGTCTGCACCTCCCTCCACCCACCACGGTCCATGATCAGCCAAACAGTAGACAGTCTGTAAGGTTAAGTGTCACACCAGGGCGGCCCCCACGCAGCCACTCCAGAAGACCGGGAGGAGGCCGGCAGGGTGGGGGGGGCGGGCAGGAGGAAGGGAAACAGAAGACCGGGAGGAGGTGGGAAGCTCTCAGGGACATGCTGGGGCACCAATCACGGTCACGTATCGCCGCGTGTCATGAAGCCTTGCACGTCAGTGCCCCCAGAGCACACTCGCACTCCCACGGTGAGAAGGGCCTCCCCCACCCCCACAGCCCAGCACTCACATCACTTCCAGGCGGGCCGTCCGGGAGTCGTTCCCGCCCTGGGACACGATCTCGCAGGTGTAGTCCCCGATGTCTCCCGACCACGTCTGGCTGATGAGGAGAGAGCCGTCCCGCGCCAGCAGGATTCTGGAGCTGCCCGAAGGGCTGATGAGCACGTTGTCCTTCCACCACACGTAGCTGCGGGCCAAGGGGCGTCCATTAGGGAGCCCCCAGGGGCACAAGGCCCTCCCTGTCCTCTGGCACACACCATGGACCACCTGGTGACTCTATGGCCAGGGGCTGTGTTGCCTCCTTCTGGGCATACACATCCAGGTCCCAACCCTCATAAAGCCTGCTCCAGTAGAGATTCAAGGGGCGCAGGCTGGTTTGTAACAAACAGTGTTACTTTGTATCGTGCATCGACTCTTCCGTGGGAGTTGGAGATACTTTGGCGTATCGGGAAGAGTTTTGCCTGTGGGCGTTAGGTGTGAAGAGGCACATCGGACCTGAGATACCACTGGGTTTCGGAAAGTTAGTGGAAAGACGAAATGAAAAGCATAAAGGAGGTTCCCACCATGGCTCAAACGAGGACGATGCTGCAGGAGCGGGAAGTACACCGTGCTGTGGTTTGCGCGGCCGCCCTGGGTCAGGCAGTCTCCAAGGCACCTAACCACGGCAGCACCTTGCGCTTAGCGGTGCGATGCTGTTGTCACCCACGCAAGGCTTCAGACACCAGGGGAATACCGTTATCTTGTCGACTGTTTTCCCAGAACTGTGACCTGCCCTGGGGGACATGGCAGTCTACCTGGCCGCCTGTCCCAGACAGACCACCCTCTCCCCGCCCCTGCCCACTTCCCCTTGCTCCTGCACAAACAGTGCTGGCCGGTCCCTCTGGGCGCGCTGAGGAGAGTGGATTAGCCTGGGCACTGCTCCCCGTCTAGACAACACTGGGCTGGGGTGGGAAACAGGATGGATGTGATTTTCCCAAGTCCCGGGAGATAGGTATCTGCCTTCATGCCGCTCCTGGTGCCCAGCACACACAGGATAGAGACCAGCCAGAGCAGGGGCCGCACACAGCCACAGTGGTACTGACCGGACGGAAATCCTGGGGTCGTGGGTGGCTCCGCACTGCAGCGTGGCCGTGGTCCCCTTGATGACCATGCCATTCTCGGGAGGGCGGACGATGGATGTCCGGTCTGCAAGGAAAACACAGGGACAAGAGTCACAACTCAGACAAAAGTCCCGCCTTGCTCTGGAGGTGCGATGGTCATCAGATGGGAGGGCGAAACCCCCCATGGGCATGCGTCCTCCTTCTGGGGGCCACAACAGTCTGCTTGGAAATGCTCAGACACGCCCTAGGGCCCTAGAGCTGGACTCATGTTTCAGCAGCATCGCCACCCCTCCCCAGCACCTTAGACCTTTCATGTGCTTCCAGAAGGTACACCAGGCTTACCACTAAACCCAAGCCACCAAGCTGAGTCTGACTCCCTGCCACCCCACATGCCGCAGAGGGCCCTGAGCGCCGTGGGCTTGTCCTGGACGGGCAACATCTTTGCAGAGCGGGTTGCCAACAGGTGTTTCTTCTTCAGTGCTGATGGGCACCAGGCCGGAGGCAAGTGTGTTCGTTCACCTCTTAAGTGTGCCAGTCGGACCAATGAACATGAAGACCAGAGACTGTCTGCCTTTGACCGAGTGTGTTGGGGACAACTATTGAGTAAACCATGGACTTCCAGGAGAAGGAATGTTCTAATCTTGGGAGAAGTCCAGCCAGGATGCTCCTGGGAAGCAAGGAGAGTGTCTTCATCCCTGTCCTTTGGGCATGTTCTCAGGAGGGGCCAGGGCCAGCACCCCCACCCCAAGGACATCAGCAACACAGAGGAAGGCCCTCACGAGATGGATGGACACGATGGCTGCCACCACAGGTCCCAACATCGCACCGCTGGTGAGGACGGTGCAGGACCGGAGACTTGTTCTGTTGGCCACGGGGGTCCTGTGACTGGAACCAGAATTGACGGTACCAACCTCACTGTGTGTGCACTGGCTCCGTAAGCCCTGACCGTGCCCCACCGATCATCCTGGTGTTGGCATCCTTTAGAATTTGTGCAGGCTCTTTCTCTTAATTCACTTTTAATAGAGACGAAACATTCATGTTCCATACACTGGATGCGTTTTAGCTGTAATTGTGATAGAGTGAACACACACACACCGAGAAAAACGAGCCTCCTAAGGATTTTCCTTCCCAATGCAGTTCTCCGGGGAAGACACAAAACTAACCAACCCAGCGTGTCAGGCATTGAGCTGTTCTTGTGCAGAATTCCAACGACGGAAAGAAACACGGCTGGTCCTGCGCCGTCCGCACCTTGTTCATGCGCTTGAGCCACGGTTGCAGCCACTGTGTCCGTCCAGCACGTTGAGGGTGTGTGTGTGTGTGTGTGTGTGTGTGTGTGTGTGCGCGCATCTCTTAGCATCTCCCCTGAAATGCTCCCATGAAATCTGAGTGCGTTTTCAAAGTATTCTTTTTGGAAACCTGGGAAAGGACTCACTCAACCTATTTCTATGACCTGGTTGTAGAAAGAGTGGGTTATGCGTCGGCAGTTCAAACCCACCAACTGCTCTGAGGGTGAAAGGTGAGGCTGTCTGCTCCCATAGAGTTACGGCCTCGGAAACACACAGGTGCGGTTCTGCTCTGCCCTACGCTGTCTCTGGGACTTGGGCTCGACTCGATGGCAGGGCGTTTGGGTTGCAGAAAGACTCGTGCCCTTTGGGCTCCCTGGGGGCAGCCTGGGGGCATGCTGTCGTGCTAGCCCAAGGCCTGGGAGTTAGCCAGGATGGACAGGACGTTCTGGAAATGTGGCCCTTACTCCACACGGTGAGAACAGCCGAGGCGTCCAGTGCCCCCTCGGTGTTGACAGCGTAGCAGGTGTAGTTCCCGGCGTCCTGCACGAAGACGGGGCTTATCTGCAGACCCCCAGACTCCAGGAGCATGAATCTGGGGAGCCGGACAGAGCCGCTGGCCAGAACCTGGGTCCCTGCATAGAGAGGGGACAAAGACCAAGTCAGCAGCGCGCTTGCAATTGGCAGCAGACAACAAGCACCTAGGGTGAGGGAGGACCCAGCCCCAGCCCCGGGCAACAGCCTGATACACTGTAACCAAGGGCGGGGTTATTGTACCTGTTTATTAACCCCCACCCCCACCGCAGCCCACCTGAAATGTTTGTTTCTGTCATCACAAGCTTTTGAATAAAAAAAGATTCTGGAAGGAAGGATCCCGGTCGTGGGCCCCTCCCTCTCGTTTGCACAGGGAGACACTAAGGCAGACACACAATCCCGTATCACGGCTCAGTTCTGTGGCTAGCCTCCAAGTCCGTGGTTCTCAATCTACGTAATGCAGCGACCCTTTCATACAGTTCCTCATGTGGCGGTGATCCCCAACCATAACATTACTTTTGTTGCTACTTCATCACTGAAATTTTGCTACTGTTATGAATTGAGTGACCTCCATGAAAGGGTCCTTTGACCGCCCCCTCCCCAAGGGGTCGTGACCCACAAGTTGAGAACCGCTGCTCTAAGCACTTTGTGGGTGTGGCGGGGTTAACTCCCGAAGGAGTGACTGTGATCGCTGAATTGGAACACGTGTGTTGGGTCAAACTTTCCTCTGCATTTGCAGATGTATTTTTTATTTCTCTGTTCTTTTGTCTCCACTCTTGTAGCGCTGTTCGCCAAGATAAAAAACGAAGGACGCAGCCTTGTCCAACGGGGATCGAATCGGTAAACCAGTCACCCCAACGTGGGCTGTGCTGCCTTCAGGTGAGGAGCCGAAGATGGCTTCTTAGTATCATCTTGTGCAGTTGAAGGGGTGGTATGCACACGTGTAGATGCGTGTGCGCGTTGGGCTCCTCATTGCAAGGTCAGCATTTCGAACACACCAGGGAGTCCTAGGGAGAAAGGTGAGGTCTTCTACTCCCGTGAGGAGTTGCAGTCTGGGGAACCCACGGGGGCAGTTCTACCCTGTCCTGCAGTGACAGTGATGGAGCAGCGGCTCACGTGTTGGGCTGCTCACTGCCATGTCAGTGGTTCAAGTCTACCAACTGCAATTCCTTTCTTCTGTGAGGCCCTTGGGTACACTGGAACCTTTCGCCTTCCAATGAGCAGCCAATGTCACAACGTGCCTTTGTACACCGTTGGGGGTTGGGGGGAGGTCCACACCCAGGGTGGCTGGGGGCGTCGGAGCGCTGGGTGGGCACTGGCCTTCCCTTTAGCAGAGCCTTCAGCCATCCACTTCCCTCCTCCGGATGCTCTGCTAGAAGAAAGTCAAACTCACTCCCAAGGGAACGCCGACTCACAGCGACCCTACAGGACAGGGTCGAACTGCCCCTGTGGGTTCCCAGACTGTCACTCTTGACTTGAGCAGAAAGCCTCCTCTTTCTCCCTTGGAGGGGCTGGTGGAGTCAATCTAATAACCTTGCAGTGAGTGGCCTAATACATAACCAGCCAAACTCTGGCACTGAATCGATTCTAACTCATAGTGATCCTACAAGACAGGGCAAAGTTGCCACTATGGGTTTCTGGGACTAAATGGTCATGGGAGGAGAGAGCCTCGTCTTTCTCCTCCGGAGCAGCAGGTGGGTTTGAACGGCTGACCTTGCAGTTAGCAGCCCAGTGTATCACCCTTATGCACCGGTGACCCAAATGGCTCTTCACAGGCTGCAGGTAGAGGAGAGCAGCCTACCACAGTGCGCCCCCTCTTGACGCGGCTCCGTGGGGACAGGCCCTTCCGGGTCTGACTCACATTTGTGTCCTAGCGTCTGGCACCCACTGGGTGAGCTTTCACTTGGATCCAGTCTCTGATCCAGTCTTGAGAATAAGCAAACCCACCCATCCCCATCGGGCCACGCTGTCGAGGGACGAGGGGCACCCACCTTTCTTCCAGGTGATGGCGGGCTTGGGGGCTCCCGATACTGCACACGTGAGGATGGCCACTGTGCCGTCTGTCACCGTGGTGTCAGCTGGGCGCCCCGTGAATGTGGGGGCGATATCTGTGTGCAGAAGTGGCCTGGTCAGCATGAGCCCTCCCCACCCCCAAAGAATCAAACGATTGCATCATCCTTACCGATCTGGGGTCCCTTGACCCCAGCCTCCCTACCATGCCCAAACCTGGGGTCCCGGGGGGCTCAGCTCCAACCACTAGCCCCTCTGGCTGCAAACAAGTGGGTGCTCCTCTGAGGGCCGGGGGCACCCCAAAGGCATATACCTCGGGGTCTTTTCTCACCCTGGGACCGTCCAGAGCATCCTGATGGGCCTGTTGGAAAAGCAGCCCCTTGTCCTCCACCATGGTCATCTGCTCCCTGGCCTCTCCCTCCCCACTGAGCCCTCACATGGCAGACAGCAGGGCCTAGCCCCTCCCCACCCCCATCTGCATCCCCACTGCCTGGTTCATGTGTTGGTGACCACGTGCGGGTGAGTTTCACACAGTGGTTTTCTTATAGGCTGTCTTTCCTTTCATGAAAGATGTTTTACTTGGGGAGAGAGATAAGAGAAATCCAGTTGATAAAATGGATAACCTAGCATCACTTGGACCACTGGTGTGTGTCCACCCTCTGGTTGCCACGGTGACCATCGGAGGTGGGTCTCCCCTTCCAGTTTCCAGTTGGATCCAAGAACCCTGAGGAGGGGCTGGGGTGGGGGTGAGGGGCTAGCCAAGAGGTGAGGAGCTGAGAAAAAACTGAGTCACCCATCTGTCCAGCTGTCCTGGCCCTTGTCACCTCCCCTTCCCCGGAATCTGTCCCTGTTGTTGTCCTCAGATACCAGTGCACCCACCCCACTCACAGTGGCCCTGCAGGACGGGGCGGAGCTGCCCATGGGGACCTTTCCAGAAGCACAGAGCCTCATCTTTCTCCTGTGGAGCAGCTGGTGGGTTTGAACCTGTGACCTTCCAGTGCGCCACTGACCTCCTTCACCCCTGTGCCACCAGGGCTCCTGCCCCTCTAGTAGCGAGGGGCGGCCAAGAAGCCACAAATCCAGACCCTTCCCTGCTTTTGTGAATCGGGTTTTATTGGAGCCCACGGCCTTCAATGAGTTTTTATGTAGGGGGACCCCATGACCTTCCAATTCTGTTTTCCTCAGAACTTGGGCCGGCTTGCAGGCCACCTCTGTCCGCTTTCACCCTCTAACAGCGACGTCAAATGGTGTGACAGATGGGCAATTTGTCCCTCAGTGTCTCGCTCTGTCTGTCTCTTCACAGCAGAAACCCAGGTGACACAGTGGGCTGAGAACCACACGGTTCGCGGTTCAAAACCACTGGCAGCTCCTGGGGAAGAAGGGCTTTCT